CGAAGTGGTTAAAGCAGAGAGTTTAACCTTTATTTCCAATCCTGTGTTGCCCACTCACAGATTATAAAAAGGAACTAAAATTAGCATGGAAAAAAATTGAAAAAACTAACATACAAATAAATACTTGTCAAAAACAACAAGATTTTTGAACAATAAAGTGTGCTAATGTAAATATATAAATATTCCTGGTTATTTAAAAATGAGAGTAATTTATTAAACAGATTTTAAAAATGAAGAGAAGATCTGTCAGAAGAATACACAACCTGTTTCTAATCATTATAGTGGAATATCATTATCAAAACAAAGTCTTTGTTCATCTAACAATTTTAAAGAAGAAATTCTGAAAAACAAAGTTGTAAATAATCACTGATTCTATAACAAAGATGGTATTTAGATGGTATTCACTAATTATATTCCTCTCTGCTGTTTTTATCAAAATATTTTAGGTGGTATTCTCCTGAAGAGTACACAAATTTAAACAAGATAAAGACAACAAACATAAGGATTGTCAGATTATTTTCATCTTGTCTGCCAGGATTTCACTCAACACCTGCTAGATTGCTTGAGAACCAGCAGTATAAAAGGAAAGGAATCACTCTCTTCCTCTTTTTCATTCTCTAACCCATAGGATGTAGTAGTTACATGACAGTGTCCAGTCTTGTTTCATGTAGATATTCCCCCAAACAGTTGACTACTTAATTTCAACCCAACCACGTGGCACACATACAAACAACAGCTTAGCATATAAATGATTTTATCTTTTTTCAAGTTTTCTGTATACACTCAGATATAATTTTCTCTTTCTCTTCTTTTGGGAGCTATGTTAGAGTTTATAAAAATATGTGTACAAAAATTCTGTGTTGAATTCATTTTATTTCAAAGTTTTCAACTTCACCTCAAACCTAATCATTACAATTTGTAACACCTGTCTGCTAATTACACTGCTGTTCAATGGCAATTAGAATTCATAAATTCAGACAGAAAATTAATGATTTCATTCATATTTCAATATTTATTTATATAAACCTTCAACAGAAGTGACATTTTTACATTGATTTGTAGAAGTGCTTACCAGCAAAAGGAGTTATAGACTTGGTTTAATGGTTAACAGAATGAAAACTGGAAACAGTAAAATGATTTAAAATTCTGATTGCAGGACTATATTTTCCCTTAGCATTAATGCTCTTTAGAAAGGCATGAATCTATTTCTCCACATAATATCAAGTCAGGCTTTGCTGCTGGCATTGAGCCTGTACAACCTGTAGCATGTTACTTAGAGAGGAGATAGGTAATGCCAAATAAATCATTATCTGGGAAAAAATACCACAAAAGAGCCAGCATGGTATCCTAGTAATTTTTTTAGCAATGGTGTAGTTTTTATGAGGAAAATATATAAGTAAATAGAATCAGATAGAATAAATATAACCTAACAAGGTCATATTTGATTTCTTATTCATTCACACACATTATATAAAATGCATACATGCAGAAGGGTGGCAGAGAGTGTGATAACCCTGGGCATCCACTCAAGGAGTGAAATAAAAATTTAGTTTATATTTAATTTGAATAAAATGTTTATTTCATGTTTCATCTGATTTTACATATTTAAAATATCTCCCTTTCTCAGTACCAGACCTGGTAAGCTTCCTTACTTGAGTCTTAGAAGCGTAAAAATCAAAGAGTTGGTCCCAGGCATCACTTCATACATATACATAACAGACATGTATATGGTAGCATGTAAAAGATTTTAGCCACTTAAAACCATCATAAAGTTCTAAAGATAGCTAACTTATAAATGGCTATTTTGTATTGTTTACTATAGATGATTTTTAAAGCCATTTCCATGACTATTTTATTGCAAGGGTTCTAAAAGAGAAGGTAAGATATGAGAACTCTTAAAATGGCTGCACAAAAGTTTTTGACCACCTCACATAAATCCAGCCAGAAACAGTATTTTAAAACAGAAAAATGTCTATAAGGAAACTTTACTATATAATTTTCATTTCAGGAAGCTACTGTACATTGTTACTATTTCATGTGGCCTCTCTTAGCTTGAATAATTGGTTCACTTTGCTTGGGAAGAGATTCATACAACTCTTTATGAGTTGATGAGTTACAGTTCTTTGTAGCAGAGTTTACGCAAATCTTCAAGATTGTGTGGATTTTTCTAACAGAATCTTCTTTTTAGCTCCATACACATTTTCTTGATGATATTGTAAACCATAGTTCCAAGCTGACCAATCTTTGAATACTTTGACACCTTCAGCTGTATTCTGTTTTCATGGAGCTCTATCATGGTGAAAAAGTTTACCTTCATCAATGTTTGGTGTCAAATGGTCCTTTAACACCAGGATGTATTTGGCACTATTCAGGCTGCTGTCAATTTTATTTACTTTTCTTGAATCATCATTGTTTATATAATTCTAAAATACCAGGTTCTTACATGATTAAAACAGTTTGAGGGTAACAGGATTTGTTTTACTTCTGTCTTGGCTTTATGACAAAATTTGCTTATTAGAATGCAGCTCCATAACAAGTTTTGTTATTGAATACAATCTTATTTAATCTATCTGCATCCAATAGTTTATACTGTTTTGAATCTCAATTTTAAAGGCTTTTTACTTAACATTGGTTTCTTAGCTAAAATGCACCTGTTCAGTCTGTGTTTTTGGGTGATGCTGTTACAGCTATCTGCTGACACCAAAATGCACAAATCACCCTTGTCCATCACCTTGCCTGTATCATAATTGGTCTTTTACTATCCTGAATATTTTTTTAGTCCATCTTATGCTGCAGCCTTTAAGGACAACCACATTTAGATTGACATGAAACACTTTCAGTGCCTTGAAACCCAAAGAGGAATTTTAAAATTCTGAGTTTCTTAGCAATTGCCTGCTGGTTCATATTCTTGAATAGATTCACTATCTCTGTTCTGGGTTCTCTGGAAGTTTTTCCTGATTGACAATGCCAATATAGGTCTTCTTGTTGGTTGCAATAGTTATTTGAATGAGGTAAATCTGGATTTTTATTCTATGTAATTTATATGCTCTGTTATAATAAATACATTGAGCTCTTTTTGTAGATCAGTTTTAATATTCTATATTATTAGGATTCACTTGGATTATATACCAACAGATTATTACCTGTGTATATATATATATATATATATATATATATATATATATATATATATAAAATAATATATAGGAAAAAAATCAGTACTTGTGCAAAATTATTTTTTACAATAACACCGAAAAAGAAAAAAGTCAAAAAGCTCAGGTGGCCAAAATCTTTTGTTCAGTCAGTTTTTGGCTGCCATCTCATCTTTTTCATTCAGAACATTTTATAAAACATTATAATTAAGTCTAAAAATAACTAATAGAGCTAATGTCTGTGCAAAAATGAAATAAATTCAATAATAATAATAAAAAAATAAATACATTTTCCTCATGCTAGTAATAAAGGAACTGGAAAGGGTTTTGGTCATCTGCACAATTTTATGACCCCCCCCTTGGATTTTCTAAATGCCTATGGAAGTGATACTGTTTAAGTTCTATAAAAAGTACAATATTTCCTTCTTCTCTCTTTTCTTCCTTTTGCTGCAAGGTGTAACAGGATGCAGATAAAGATACCCCTGGTGGTGAACATCTCTTTTCCCCAGTCTACTGATGACAGGATCTCTTTCCACTTTCCAAAGCATGGTGTTTGGACATGTTTTGACAGAACCTTTCACAGATAAGTTCAACCTTTACTTTGGTCATTCCAACTCAGCACAAGGCTGAATTAAGCTCAACCATTATAACCATTCTTATGACTTACCCTAACTTAAAACTGAAAAAGAAAACAGACATACCTAAGAGCTATTGAGAACTTTGTTTCCCTACACTGCTCTAAAAAATAATTAACTGTCTGTAGTAGAAACCCTTGTTTTTGTTGCTTCTACATTAATTATTTACGTGAACATTTCCATACCTACAATACACCAACTCATAACTTTAAATTCTATATGTTGAAACATGTTCTGAAACTGGCAGTTATTACAACTGTTTAAAATGACTGAAGAATTTTGAACAATATATATATATATATATATATATATATATATATATATACACATACACACACTGTGTTATATCCTTTTGAGGGAGTAATTCTTTTTTTTTGTTGTTGAGTGTTTCTTTTTGCATATTGAAAATCTGATTATTTTCCTTATTTGTAATAGTAAATAAGCCACTTCTTCAAAATTGGACAGACTAAATATTATATCTCAGTATATGAGTTGTAATGTTAACATCACTTCAAAAATGTAAACAATATATATATATATATATATATATATATTGCGTTGACTTTAAAACAGACTAAACAAGTGGGTTTTCTCTACTTTTTATTCACAATTTTATATATATATATATATATATATATATATATATATATATATATATATATATAAAATCTGCATATTATTAAAACAAAGGCATAATACCCATCAAAAATGGCAAAATTATTACATTTAGATTGGCACTTCTACATAGGCTCTGAGTATCTGTGTGCACTGTGATTTCCCAGCAGCATGTTTGCCTTAGATTAGACTGCTTTTCCAATTTTGGGATGGGATCAAAGTATAGTATCTGTTGAAAGTTATGAGGTAAGTCTATTTCCAGAGATTTCAACACTACAGCAAAAAGGTTGGTGGATGTTGCTGCCAAAATGACAGCATTTGTTTGAATTGGACAATTTTTGTTCTTCGCATATATTTACATGTATGGGTACCACACCCACATTAAACTGATCTCATATCACATCCTGCCACAGAATTTAGGAGATATATCAAAAAGACAAACTTTACTAAGGGCTACATAGGACAGAAAGATGTTGAGAGCCATGATAGCCAACATTCTAAAGAGGCACGGCATATTGGGAGATTGGGAGATTTCATTCAAACCTGAAAAGATTATATACAGTGTATATAAAGACTGGTGCTTATTGAATGTGGGCTTATCGCATTGAAACATCAGTTCCTGTATGATCACTGAAGTTAAGCAACATCAGGCCTGGTAAATACCTAGATGGGTGACAACTTGGGAATACCAGGTGCTATAAGCTTTGATCTGTGGGTAGTGCAGTGGATGATGAGATGGAATTGTTAATCAGAGAGTTGAGTTCTAATTCCAGTTGGGTTTGTTATATTCACTTATATGCTTTTTACCCTTCAAAAAGGTATGAATTTATCTCTTCTCCTATGGGTTAATTAGTGAGACTTGTATTACTAAGTCATTATTATCTCAAATAAAACTCTTACAATCTAAAAATATTTTCTGGTTTTAAATAACTTGTCATGGGTTGATAAGCCATAAAAATTAATCAGTTATCGAAGTTCTCATGAACACATTAATATATAAAATAAAAAAAAAAATTTGCAGAAAAAACAAATAAAAAGTATTAAAATATTCTCTAAGAATGCTATCGCCAGTTCTTCTTGGCTTACTCAGTATTCAAGCATTATTGTCATAAAAGGAGGAAAGATTCTCCATTTTATACTATTTACATTTACTTTGGGTCAAGTCACTGTATTCAACAAATGCTTTTATCCAATGGGCCATGTGTCCTCAAAGATAAAAGCATTGGTTGAATCCAGTAACTTGACTCAAAGAGTTATGAGTTCAATACCTGGCTACAGCAAAGGTGAACAAAAAACTTGGAGGGTTGGGTTAAAGGGAGATAACTGGTACTGAGATATCTGAAAGAGGCATGGCATGTAGAACTAGAACAATCTACCCTAATGGAAAAAAAACAGTTGGTTCAAAATTCCAATCATCAGAAGAACAGCCAAAACGTGAATTTGGCAACAAAGATGAGGACAACAGTCCAAACAATGTAAATAGTACAAATAATTAGAATACCTCACCTCAGAAATATAGACAGATATTCTCCAGTTTGTCAGTATAATTTCAGCAATGTACATTTGTTAAGTGTGGGAACAATTAGAAACAGATTTCAAAAAGATAAAGTATCATTTTTAAATCCTTTAGCACACTGTAGGTGACTTCATTCACCCATCAAAGAATTTCTACTGGCATTGCACAATACCCAAAAGATGGTGTGTTTGGAGTTTGAGGTTGTGTTGTCATCTCCTACTATGGCAACAGAAACTTGACTCACAATGAGGTTACTGCAGTTGATGGTTCCTGATAAGGAATGTTGTAGAAGTGATTCTCATGAATAATGCTGAATAGAAAAGTTATTTTTGGGATATTCTTAATTGGATTTTTTCAGTGTATTTAAAAACAAAATTATTTTGTAGAAGAATGTGGTTAATGTTCATTCATTGCAAATGAAATTAGAAACTAGTATGATCTTGGAGAAATGCTATTAGCATCTCTCCAAGACCATAACAGTTTTTACTTTGACTAATTTTTGTTTACTTTTTCATTGAGTTCAGTGAAATCAATAATAGAACAGACTTCAGTTGTTTTGAGAATAAACAACAAATTCTGAAAATATTTCTTATAAAATTGCCTTTATTTTTAGATTATTGCATTTAATTCATAAATGACTAGTTCAGGGAATATTCTGTTATTCTGGAATTGTTATTTTAAGATTAATCTGTTATTCTAAAATTTTTCATTTGAGATTTTTATCTTGATATAATTTTCTATGGATGCCATTTTTATTCAATGATCATTCCAGTTATTTTGAGAATATATTAATTTTGTTTGGTTATTTATACGTTTTCTCTATAAATTGAGGCATTTGTAAATGTTTTCAGTTCTGCAATTATCAAGTTATTTTGGTTGACAGCTTTTCAAGCCTATGGCTGCATTTGTACAGACCGTATTTTTATATCATTCCGTTTTCACAAAAATTATAATTATTTTATATTTTTACATTATTCTTCTAACTCATTCTAATAAAGCAATTCTGAGCAGAAACCATTGGCAAATTTATGTAAGTGTTTTCTGATATTTAAAATTAATCAGAAGTTCTTTAGTGAGGTTCACGTTTGTGTAGCTTTTGCCATTCAGACATTATTCTAAGAATGAGGGAAACCCAAAAAATGACTTTTTCTTATTCTGAGGCTAGTTTGTAATATTTAAGAGTAGATATTTTCAGAATCTTTCATATCACATTCATTGGCCATTGTCTATCTTGGCTGTGAGTTTGAAATCTTTCAAAAACCTGGGGGTAAAAATAAAATATAAATAAAATGGATATGCATAATTCATATTCTTAAAATGTGTATAATGTTGATAGATTTATATGTAAGATTTCTTGTTCAAATAAAATAACCAATGGGGACAAACCATTTAACATGTGGCTCTACTTAGATTAAATGTATAATAAAGAGAAAAAAAAAAACATGAAGAGAATTGAATAAACTTTGGATTAAGTTAGATATTTAATAATATGAGATTTCAAGATCAAGCAAATTGATATTATTAGGCTGAAGAAATAGGTTTTGCATTTACTGTAGATTGTAGTCATTGTCAAGTTGTTTGTGAAATTTCTTTTATGTATATTAAAATACATGGCAAAATCCAGTTTTCAGAAAGAATCACTGGAAACTTTTGCACACAAACACACCTCATAAATAAAACTGCTTATTACTTTTTGCCATAACATGCTGAAATCTGAGACCTGACAATTTGTAGATGTTCTATTCTTAGACATTTTAGGGTAAATTTCACTCTAACTTTTGCAGTTATGCTCTTTCTTTACAAAAGACAGATCTGACCAAAAATAGAGTACTGTTGCCATATTCTGTCATCTTGAATCCTATTCTTTTATTGTACTTTCCACTTACTAACATTTCATTTTCTTTCACTCCCAGTAGCTCCTTGTATCTTAGTGATCTTATCACTTTGCTTAGGGTGAAATAACTAAAAAAAAAAAAAAAAATGTTCATATGTGCTATATTCATTGGTGCCACAAATTCAGACATTTACAGTTAAGACTCACCATGCTCTGTACATTAGGATGAATCATCCTCATTCCCTATGTATTCCATTGGTAAGGAGGAAGATCTGCAAATTTAGACCTTTAGAGCTAAGACGCTCCATTCTATGTACACAGGGTTAACTCATCCTCATTCCCTTTGCATTCCATTGGTAAGGAGGAAGATCTGCCAGTTGAGACCTTACAGCTGAGACCCTCCATTCTATGTACACAGGGTTAACTCATCCTCATTCCCTATGTATTCCATTGGTAAGGAAGAAGTTTTATCCAGACAGCTTCTTTTCAAGAACTGTTACTTTGTGGAACAAACTCCCAAAAGGATGTTTGTTTGATCACTACAATCTTAACCTCTTCAATTATAAGGACAACTGTTATCTTTCCTATATATCCTCATAAACACATTTCTTAGATCTTCCTCTTTGGTTCATACAACAGCATTCAGTAACTCTCAACCTTGAGTGGCTCTTGGGCCTTGTATTGAATGAACAGTTAGTAAAAAGAAAACTGCCTGTATAAAAATAGTGAGGAGCAGCAAAAGGGCTTATAAAAAGTTGGTCATATGAAAATTCTTTTTGGTATGCTAGTCCTATAGTGAATACATTAACAGCTTCATTCTACTTACATGATAAGCTATATAATTCTTTTCATTAGTTAAATTTTGATAGTGACAAGATTGGTTGATTATGTTAAAAAAGCAAGCAGTTTTAGAATTTGTCCATAAGAATAATTTCACCTTATTATTAATCATAAGATGCTTCAATTTTACAATTTCATACATTTTCTTTTCATACATTTTTATTTACTTTTAATCATTTCATCCCAGTCAAGGCAATAAAGCCACTAAGATGCAAGGGGTTACTGAGTGTTAGAGAATATGAAAAAAAAAACACTATTAAGGAGAGAGAACAATAAAATGTGGCTTATTTACTCACACCATAGGAATAGTGGCAGTAGAATCTTAGGCTTGTTTTTATTTTCATAAAAACAGGAAAAAATAAATGTACACAATACAGAGAAGGTATGACAAATTCTATGATAATTTTATACAATATTATTTATGTATGTGTGTGTATTGTCGTTTGTATTTTACGTTGTAATTCTGTTAATGTACATGTTATGAAAGGAAGCAATTTACTACATAATATTACCAATCATATCATAAAGGGAAGTTACACATGTTGTCATCCTGATGGTTCTTGGGTGAAGAGGTTGAATATCACATCTTTTGGCAGGATGTCCGTATTTTTGGCAGGAACAGTTTTTGTTGCATGCTGGGAGTAATTTTATTATTTTTATTTAATTTATATTAAACAAGGTTTAAATATTATTGTTTTATTTTATTTATAATTATTTTATGTATATGTAACAATAGTATCATCTCTACAAAAAGAACAAGAATTAAGAAGATAATGTCAATTCTTATCTTCTTAATTCTATATTATTGGATGGTTTAGCAGACCAATTTCCTTCACAGTTTCTCAGATCAACTAATCTAGAATTAATAATTAAGCTATATAGACTCGTATTGTGCCCAAGGCGAAATTGACTTCTTATTGTATTTATTTCAAGATTGCTTTATATTGTTCTACAGAGGAAATCAGAAATGCCTTCAAACCTAAAAAAATAAACCACTTCTTTTCATTTTCTTTATGTACAGATAGCATCATGCAAAAAATGGAATCAGCAAGTGGAGTTCACATTCTCATTCTAGTCTGTTGCATTCATTTTTACACAAATTCCCACGAGAAAGCCATGGATCCTTTTCTTCTGTCGGCTGTGGGTTAAATAACAGGGTAAATTGTGCTCTCTAGCTTTAGATGGCAGTCAGTCTAAGAGAAGGACAATTCTGAATCTAAAACCAGAAAGATGGTAATGAGAAACTACTCCACAGTCATACCTAAGATGTCATGGAAATTCACAAAAAATGGGAAAACCATGAAATATCCTAAGATACAACGGAATAAAAAAAGGACACAAAAGGAAGAAATATTGAAACATAGACTATTAAACGTTAATTAAACAGAGACTATTAAACGTTAATTAAACAGAGACTATTAAACGTTAATTAAACAGAGACTATTAAACGTTAATTAAACAGAGACTATTAAACGTTATTTAAACAGAGACTATTAAACGTTATTTAAAC